ATCGTGCTTTTGGCCAAATTTATCTCCTGATCGCATTTTGTAGTCAATCTTGTAGAGTGATGTCCGGGTTAGAGTAGTCCTGAAGAGACGGTCTCAGTGTTGTCGAAATTAGTGATTGGTCTAAGCAGAAGTCATCGTCAGAGTCAAGTAAAGAGCGGTTTGTATGTCGAAGGTTATAACTGTGGTTCGAAGAGCTGATTGATCAGTTTGGAGTGAAGTGGTTGCTGTCTGAGACTAAAATGGTGTTCGTCCGTTGATTAGTCAGTTTTATTCGGCCGGTGAGGTTAGCTCGGTCTGTTGTTGTCAACTTTTGAGAAAAGTCTTTTCTTGGTTACAAACTAGATTTTAAAGTCAGTCATTGAAGATGGTTTGTACAATATGGAATTGATATCGAGCAGCGCAGCAGTCAATTGTGAGGTTTGTTAGTCGAAGGTTATGACTGGGGTTCGAAAGCCGATTGATCAGTTTGGAGTGAAGTAGGTTGCTATCAGATTAAAATGGTGCTCGTCCGTTGATTAGTCAGTTTTGATCGGTCAGTGAAAATAGTTCGTTCTGTTGTTGTCAACTGTCGAGACGAGTCTCGGTGACAAACTAGAATTTCAGAGTCAGTAGCTGAAGATAGTTTGTACAATATAGTTCTGAAAGATATTGAGCAGCACAGCAGTCAGTTGTTTGGTTTATGAGTTGATGGTGTTCACCAATGTGATTTTTGGAATGAATGAAATAGCTTCTTTAACAAAGAAAAAAGCAAAATTTGAATTTTATTTGGTTTTTTTTGTCGGAGCTCCTTTATCGAAATGCCACCTTAATAAATATCACCTTTGTGTGACATCAACGAGAATATAGCTGTGATACTAACCGTTAAGCAAACAAAATATGAGCGATCAGTGCTTCGAAAGTAGCAATCTTGGTTTCTCCTTTTCTGTGGTTAGGTTTACTTGACGTTAATTTTAAATTGTACCTTGGTTAATCAGTTCGATGCAACAAAATTGTCCAAGAGAAATTGCACTAAATTATAACGAGAAGTTCAAATTAATCAAACGATCGCTCAAGGTCTGCATAACAATCCGTACCACGACAAAATCTTTGCAAAAATGATGGCTGATTGAAAACTATTGACTTACCAGTTAATCAGTTTCATCCATTCATGACAATTGGTAAATATATGGAGACCTCGTAAAATAATGAGAAATTTTAAGAGCCACCATTTTTGCGAACTTTACTCAATAATTTCAAAGTTCTTATCTTTGCAGTATCCACTAAACATTTGATGATTCCAGTGTCTTCTCCTGACCAGAATCTTTTATCTTCCATCCATTTGACAGCAATGCTCCTCCTGAAAGTAAAAATTATGAATCTGATCAGTGAATGCTCAATTTCTACAAAGATGAACAATTTTGGGAACTTAAAAATAAAAACCTATATAATTTAATCGCTCTTTAATACCATGATAGAAAAAGGGAAAGCGCGAAAACTTTTCGAAATGTTATTTGTAATAAAGGAAAGGCCGCCAACTGATTTTAAACGCTTGATACAATTAGTAGAAGAGTCGTCACACATCCACGTAACCGAAATCGAATACAGGATGAGGTTCCCTACTGATTTTAGACGCTAAAAAATCTTGAATGGAGCGTTTCTCTGAAAATATTTTTCATAATCACAGGTTTTGCTTTCCTCGAAGCCAGCAGCCTAATTCATTAAACTTCGAGTACAAGAGCTCCTTAAACCAAGAAACCGACTCGCCTGACTCGTTCGAGTGTTATGATACGAATCCTTTGGCTCTCTAAACTAGTTTAGGTCAATATAGTCAAAAAGGAAAGCTTACCTGCTGTTATAGTCACAAAACATTGGTTTTCGTTGCTCTTCTTTCTAGGTCAAGCGCTTTCTTCCTTCCAGAGAGCAACTTTAATTTCATCCTTTCGGACGGCACCTCTTCACTGTTCGACGGACAGCGTGGTTTGCTGAAAATTCTACAATTTCTGTTGAATATGGATTAACAACTGCAGCCAATTGTCGGCTGATACGTCACAGATTTTTCGCAGAGTTTTATTCGCACGCTTAGTCAACTATTCAAGAATCAAGCCGAATAAAGGACATTGTGATTGCCGAATTTGCATGCGACAGAGAAAAAATGAACAGTATAGTAGTTGCATTTTAGAGAATATTTTGTGTGTAGGAACATATTCAGACATCGAAAAAGGATTAATAAAATTCGCCCGCAAGAACCGTGTGACTCAAACGGTTGAAATTGGTTTTCAATGATTGATTCAATTAATTATCTTATATTTCAGTGACAAATTAAGAAAAATTCGTAATTCTCTGCTGATGGGGTTAAAAAATGATGACGACATTCTATTATTTTCCTGTGAAGGAAAAGACAGGAGTACATACACGCCAATTTACCCTCTTGTGCAGGAAGAGCAAGATTGAAAATACGCATAATGAGTCTAAAGTGCTGTCAATTTAACAACACAGGAAGAAAGCCACTTTAGCAATTGGGTTAGTTATCATCATTTGAGTGATCAGCTGTGCCGCGCATCAAAATGCTGCGGTTCTAAATTACCTGCTTCCTTCAAAACATTGAAAAACGTTCTATTCATAGGGACATATTAGCTTGTGGAACAGGTTTCATTATTTCATTGTAGGTGAAAAGAACAAAAATGGGAATGAATCTGAAAGTTTATTTGAGGTTCAAAGTCACCCTGAGAGAAATCCATTCATTTACCTGTCTCTTTCAAAGCGCTAAAAAATGTTCTTTTCATAGGGGCATCTCAGCTTGTGGAACAGGTTTTATTTTTTTGCGCTTTTCAGGTGGGTGGAGGAAAGCGCAAGTCAAGCGCAAGAAAGCGCGCAGGTGAAGGGCTGGATACGCTTAAAGGGAGGAGCGCGTAAAAAGCATCCAGCTGCTTGTGTCTTGCCACTTGCGTTTTCCTCGCACTCGTCTCTCATTTTCTCCTACTGGCCTGTAAAGCTCCAAAACTAAAAATTTAGATGAAGCTTATCGACTTCAGGGAGGAGCGTCCATCACATTGAGCCTAAATTTTGATTGAGGTTTTTAAAAGACTTGTGACTATCAGAATTGTTTCTGATCCAGTAACTCAGCTTGCACGAGATGATTAATACCAAAATCGCACACCCCAACTGTTTAAGATGCAAGACCCTGAGAAGCAAACCTTATTTGGTGGCAATTACCTTTTTGGAACGAATAAATATATGCCCTCCACATCCCTCGAGGGAGGGAGAACATTCCCTTGAATACCGTGTCCAGATTATCGCTCTGATTGAAGTGTTTCATGAATTATAATCAAGCATGAATAAAAGGGGACAAACGAATGAAGACACAAAGAAATGAAGGCCGGGAAAATACTTAAGAAATTCGGTTCAAATTGCAGTCCTTCGTAAAAAGAATTATACAAGAAAATTAAATATTTAGAACTTACCGGCTTCAAGAAATGCCTCAGTAAATCATTTAATTTTTTAGAGAAAGATCTTTTTTTCGTCTTGTCACGAGCTTAGGACAAAAAAAAAAACCGGAGTCCCCGCGAGGAATCGAACCTCAGACCTTCGGATTCCGCGCTCCGATGCTCTAACCACTGAGCCACAGAGACACCACCGTGAGTGAGGTCTATTTAGTTTTTTAAACCCCTTGTAACAGATACTTTCTCTTCAGTTTTCTCGAACTGGGCTAAGGTTTGTTGTAAAAGGCAATGAAGTCAACCGAATAATATCGCATTCTCCTCGCTTTGGTGTTAAACAAAAAATACAAAGTCCCAAACGACACTTGTACGCCATGTCAACATTTTCGTTTAGTTTCCAGTATCTTCCACGTTCTAGGAATTTGCGTGGATTCGCGCGTACATTGCGTGGTTCAATTTCCATTCAAGTTCTACAAAGAGACCAAATGGAATGAATCATGTTTTTTAAAAATAAGCAATTAACGATGGACTTAAAAACTCATGGGGGGCGCATGACTCAGCCGGGGCGCATGACTCAGCTGGGGCGAATCAACTCAGCCGAGGTGCAGAAATTCAGCCGGGGCGCATGACTCAGCCGGGGTTAAGCCGTGAAAAGCATCGGAGTAAAAAGGGGAGCAAACCAAATGGTTCTGTCATTTTTAAACACCAATACTTTGGGGGATTACAGCTTTGACACGTTTTACGTTCTTTCTTGGAGATCATCATGAAATGCCAAATTATTTCCTATAAAGTTATGACCAATTTTAATGTGATAATTGTTCAGGTTGCTCTGAACCGTTACTACAATAGATCTTTTTACAACCATTTTGTCAGGTTTATTGAGAAGTTGCACAATTCAACAATGAATAACCTTGGATGGAATTGGATATTACGCAGATCTGCTTGACATGATCTTTACTCGTAGAGCTGCCGGTTTTTGAAGTAACTTTGTACTGTTGATTTCACCTCTCTGCTGCGCACCAGAACCACATGTCACTCAGCATGCACACGACACAATGTGTTCCAAGCGTTCAGTAACGGAGCGCGCTAGGAAACGGCGCAAGTGAGCAAGCTCATTGCCTGTGTATAATTTATGTTCATATTTCATATCACCATAGCATATTGCGTCTGTGAAGACAGTTATCTATCAAAGCAAAGGAATAGGAGTACTTATGCCACACGCGCTAATAAAATGCACACATGCAAAAATGTTTGTCAATTAGCTCAACTTTTTGCACTTTACTATTATTCAAATTAATTAGTGTTATTCAAATTAATTATGGCACAACTGAAAGTTAAGTTCGCACTTGTCTGTTACTGCTTGAAAATTAAACTTAACCAGATCGAGATCTGCCTTCAGGCGAACGTCTGAGAGGAGAGACTTCCGTTCAAGACACTGTCCATAAATAATTTGAGTGGTTTGGCATGTTTTAAGGCCCGAACGCCTCCTTTTATACAATTCCCTTAAGCTCTTGGCAAAAAAAAAACTCTATATGTTGGCCCTAGTGACAATTTTCAATAAGTTAATGTTATCAGTTAGGGATTTTAACGTCTCATAAGCTTTCCAAGCATCTGCCTCAGGTTCCTGCGATGTTTTCTTGTCTGAGCGTTTGGCTGCTGGTATCGCAAGAAATAACTGCATTTACTTTTGCAATTGGCACTCTTGATTCCGCTCAAAATGCGACCCCGTCTGGAGAAACCCAAGATCCATTGTGGATACTTGGCTGATCTGTATTGGTCATAGCCCTTAACATCTTCTTGGTAAAACTCGCACCTCTTCATCGTTGAAAATTCTTGCTTTTTCTTCTAAAATAAATAAAAATAGTCAGAAGAAGGAAATTACCATTATGGTATATTGTGGCGCGCGGTGGGAAGTTGGAGGATTTTGGATGTGCAAAGATAAAATTAAACTGATCCCCCTATAGGGCTCTGCGATATTCTTATAATCCCCTCAAGTCCTCCCACCTTTCCCCCCCCCCCCCCCCCACTGGCGATAATTTAAGACTTTATGAAAGTTAGTCATAATGCATTATTCAAGTCGCATGAAAATCGAGAAGACTCCAGAAAATAGATGAGTCGCGGTCAGCAGAGAGCAGCGAAACAGGATGAGCGCCTGGGAACGAGCCCTCACTTTTTTACGACTTAACATACATTCTTGTTTGATTTTGTGATGCATTCTGGCTTTTCACTTGGCCAGTTCCTCGATAAATTGTACGTCTGAGATGTATAACACGTGTGGGATGGTTTTAACGTCTGTCAAAATAAATATGGCCACGATCAGAGGCAAGTTGTTGCTGTACGAAGGTCATAGCCAAAGCAGGGTCAAAGCGATTTACTGTCAGCTGTGCTTAGTAATAAAACGCGTTAAGAGAAGATTTTCTCACCCTTGTAACGATGTGTCCTATCCTATTTAGGCAGAGGTAACGGTTTGTTTTCACCCCTTGGATGGTAACAAGACTCGCCAAGTCGCCCGTCTCCAGCTTCAGTAACGCTACAGATTGAATGTAGGCGAAGTTAGGGTATTGCACTAAGGCCCGAGAATTTCCTTTCTAACATGTGCACTTCCGTCGGTCGCACATCGTAGATCAGATCTTATACACAATCCCGGTTTGCTAATCTGGAACTAATCTTATAAGTAGCGATCAAAATTTCAGAGAGTCGGACATTTATCGAAAAAAATTTTATCGTTACAGGTGCGAAATTAACCTGTTTACTTGACAGCATTATTCGTGCACTAGCAAATCTGGTGCGCATGGATATGACGGCTGAAAAAAGCATTTGAGAGATTGTTAGACGTTACCTACGCCGACAAAAACTCTCTCGCACGCACAATAACACCGTTAATTCTATTACTATCTCGATCTTAACTCGTTAAACACGAAGAGAAAAACAGCTTTTCCCGGGAGTTCGAGAAACGGTTCGTAGCTAACTGTAGGAGTCTGATTTAACACTTTTTACGCCAATAGTGAATGGGATGACCTCATTGATGAAAGGTTCGACGGTCCGGGCCCTACCCAAACCACAGCCGGGGGAGTATTCGCCTGAGGGTTTAAGGTTGTTTACTTTTTTATACAGATGACCCTATCTTGGACATCTATTAAGGAATGGTTTGAATCCTCTAATGATTTTTTAAAGATCGTCAACCCCCAGAACAAGGATCAATCCAAATGTTGTCTTAAAAAAAGGAAAGAAAATAACAATTTCCATTCCCCGAACATCTTGATATCATTGTGGAGTGTTTTTTTCCATTAAGTTTGTTACAAGACGCCCTGCTCGTTTAAATTAAAAAGCCCTTGGGCGTGAGAATCAGTGAACAGTTTCTCATTAAAAAGCTTTGTTTTTCTTTCAAATTCCACAATAATTAACCCAGAAATATCTTTTTTCTTGCTTACGGAAAATCATCTCAGATATCTGCTTAATCGAGATCGTGTTCTTGTCTTCACCGTTCTTCTTTGACATTTCTCTTAAGTTGCTTCTTATCCTTTGTGAATTTTTCTTTCCATCATATTCGTCTATGTTAACTGAGGCAACGAAACGAAAAATTTTGATTTCCAGTCCTTTTTTCTCACAACCCCAGGCAAAAAAAACCTCATTCGTTACGAGAGATCGAGCATACGGGCTTGAAGGTCTCTTTCGGGATCCCAATCAGTTCGTTTAATTTAAAACAGGACAAAAAAACGAGATTAATGAAGACAAAGCAACAGAAAGCTTAATTGTACTACAGTATCTTGTCTCTACACGTTTTAATATTAAAAACACACATACACAAATCGGCATCCTTACCATATTGTGAGCCATTCACGCCGCCAGCGTCAACTCCGTTCCTCTTAACTTGAATGTATTTTCCCGAAGCTCTTGAATAGATTTGAACAAACATGTAATTCGTGACGTTCGGTTGTTTATTTGGAATTGGGAAACATCGATGTCTCCCGAACTAGAACCAAAATGAAAAAAGTGTTAGACCCGTTAAATCCCGTCAGATTGACGCATAACTCAAGCAACTTTCAGCGTATTTTACCTTCCTATGTTTGTGCATGCCTTTAGGACAAGGTTTAGAATGCGCACTGGTAGACAACGCACGTGCATCAGGACTGACACTTAAAGATGTTAATGGAAACCTGAAAAATGAAAAAATCAAAACGCCCAGTAACATCGTTGAGAAGCAGTTGCGATGACTCGTGCATAGCATGCTCGTTTTGATTCTCAAATCGATTCTTCAAGTGACATTACTTACAGGATTAAAATTAAACCACAAGAACTCCGTGATAACCAAATTATCTGCATCTCCGATGCTCAGAAAGAGGTCAGTATTTTCAACCGCAACCGTGCGAATGAGACGTATGCCTCTTTTTATACCGAGATATTGACAAACACTCAAAGGAAGAACGTAACTGATACTTAAAACAAGCATCCAAAACTTTCACGAATACTCCCCAAAGGAAGGAAGGAGACTTCCTCTTTCGTGAAATGCACTCGCGGGACAGAGCCGTCTCCATTGCGACCGAACGGTGTTTCACTAATGATAACTTTTCGCGTGAAAAAATTTAGAACTTATACTTAATCACAAAGTTCTTTCTTTGTGATTATCATCACAAAGTTCTTTCTCTGTGATGTTAATCACAGAGAAAACCGTTCAATTCATTATTATAGCTATACCTGTATACGGTAGATTTTCTCGACGTTACTACGGAAAAATCAGAGCTCAGGTTTATTAAAAAGATACCATTACAACGAAAATCAATTCAATTGACCCCCGTAGTTACTGTGTAAGATCCCATTTCAATTTTCGTGGACTCTGGACATGTCATGGACTCTTGAACGCTACAAATTTCCAACCGGGACGATCAGACAATTTACAAATGATTACCAGAAGCCCTCAGTGATGACAACATGATGTCATCTCCGATGTTAAGAAGGAGGTCAGTATTTTCAACCACAACCGTGCAAATGAGATGTCTAAGCTAATAAAGATTTTTGGTGCACTGCCTCCCTTCATACTGACAATTTAGCAGACATTAAAAGGAAGAACATAAATGATACTTATTAGTTACAAGCCTCTGAAACTTTCGTTCTCCCCATCCGTCTTCCAATACAACCCTTCGGTGCATCACTGATGATAACTGAGTAAAATTACGCGATAACATCACTGAAGATAAATAAAATCACACCCAAAACCCACGTTATATCCATAATGAAAGCAATATCGGGCGCGGACTTTCTCGACTTCTCACCGGAAATCGGACAAAGGTTCATTTGAAAACAGTACAAAATATCACGAAATTCGACTACCCCTGTAACTGCTTCATTAGATACTGTTTCGCTTTGAAGGACCCCATATGATGGACTAATGAAAGTGACAAATACCCAACCGGGAGGATTTGACAATTAAGAAATTGTTTACTCCTTTAATTGATTCATAAGCTGTTTTACAAACGCTTATGGTGGCCTTCTAAAGGACGGTTTAATTCCTACTCTATGGGAATTATTGAATCTAGAATTAAACAAAAAACTTGCCTAACCAAACAAAACAGGTGTGCTTGAAATGTGTTCGACAGATGTTTTGCAATTGAATTGAAAAATTGCAATAATTACGTAATACAAGAAATATAAACGCTTCGAAAATAGCCATTACTTTTCGCTTCAGACGAGTATAAAACACGCGATCATACCAAAGTGAAACACTTTGCTTATATCAGGTGGGCAAACACCAACTCGATGTTGCATAAATAAAGTCTTACTAAAGAGGAGTGGCGGAAAACAGCAGTTCACGGAGGGCGTCTCCTGTCTGACACTCTATGAGCAGGAAAAACAAAATTGGTTGTTTTCGTATGGCTCTTCCACGAGTTTGGCTTGGGGCGTGCCGCCAAAGCTTTGAAACCCTAGCCATGTTTAACAGAAAAAAATCCTTTCATTTACTTCCCTGATTAAAAAAGAATTTGTACAAACTGTGGCATATCTACCCCAGAAGGTCAGATCCGAGATATTCCAATTTTTGAAACAATTGTCGATGACGCACAAACAGACCACGCACCGCCCAGTTCACCTTGTTCGAGGCTTCCGGTTCAGAGAGAGAGAGAGAGAGGCTCCTTCAGACCCTATGTAACCTATTGCACCGTATGCATTTCGGTGCAAATTTGTTGACTTCACATTACTTGACCAATGATTTACAAGAAAAATAAGTAGTCGGATGTTTTTTTAACATTTTAGAGGAAGTTAGCTCAGAATCAAAACATGGTAGGTGAAGTGAGGTCCTGTGCAACCCCAGAGTAGAAAGTCTGGCGCATAATATATTGTGATATCAAACCCTGGACTCCTTTTGCCAAAAAAGTCTCAACCCTTTAACTCCCAGATCAAATTTGTAATTCTCCTTACTGTCAACCATACAATTTTCTTATAATGTTAGTTCAGAGAATTTAATATTGGATCAACTAATGATCCCCAAATTGATATTTTTCTTTATTCTCATCACTTATGTGATTGATATTGTATTGATATTGTAAGGAGAAATTCTGTCTTGGTCACTCATGGGTGTTACAGGGTTAACCTTTTTCGCTAATAAACTTTCCTGGTTAATAACACCCCATTAAGACCAATGTAACATGGTCTTAATGAAGCATGCTGTCTTTTCATGCATGCTTTCATTCTGACACTCATTGACAACTTAACCTATTTCCTATTCATTTCCTACCTTCCTTGGGATCTTCCTCTCCCCTTCAGTTAAAGTGGGGAAGCACCTGATAAAGCTGACAAAATTTACCACGATTTGATGGAGAAACACCACCTAAGCGATTTCACCCGAAACACAAGGCTAAATACAAATAAAAGATTTTTGTTGTGGCAGTTGCTTTTTCCACAATGGGCTGTTCACGCCATTTATTTAATAAAATCAAAGAATTATCGTTTTTACGATTTAAATTATTTACAAAGAGGAGTAAAGAGTATGTACAAGAGTAAAACCCTGTTGAACAGGTTTACCAACAAGTCAAGCGTTTAGAATTTTAAAAATCAAGTGTTTCTTCAATGATACCTGTCAGTAATCTCGCTTTCCGTTCCACAATCAAATGATGAAAAATGCAAGCTAAACTAAAATTAAAATTGAGATAAAACTTTGCTTGGAAACAAGTAAAAACCGATAATTATCAAAGTTCAACTAAAGAACAAATTCCTCTTTCAACCAAAGAATTGAGAAACCGGAAAGAAACGTAATCAAGAAAATATCTTTTACAAGAATCAAATGGCAATTCTGCAAATCTCCGCAAGCTAAAACTTCAGCCATCAGAAAGTTCTCTTTCTGTCTGCTCCTTCTTACAGTGGCCTCCACTTCACTTGCATTATTTATCACGTTTGATCACGAAGTTTAACAAAATATGGGGCTACCAGAAGACCAGAAAACCAGAAGATCAGATCCCAACGCTTCCTCCATATATCCTGGGGGAAGCTCTCTCAAAAACGATCGCGCTGTTTTATCCGAATTTTTCCTAGTGTACAAAACGCGAAGGATGTGTTTCAATTCATTGGGCAGTTTCAAGCGATCTGTAAATCCCAGAGTAAACTTCACCTCCGTTCTAGAGCTGTCCTCTTCGGAAATAAATTTGTACAGCGCTTTAGGGTGATTATGAAATTTCGGAGAGTCGTTTTCAGACTGCGCGCTGTAAGAGCGATCCATAATATCCCTTGCAGAGCCCACAGAATCTTCATCGTCATTCTCGTATTCATCATCAGCGTCTTCCTCAGAGGATGTCGTCCTCGATCGAGAGGAGGACAGCGATGTTGGAGAACCTACAAAACCCAAACGAAATAGCTTGAAATGAAAAGTGATAAAAAGGCAGTCAGGGCGAGTAGATTAGGCTGGAAGACAAGGAGGGAGGGGAGGGTAAGAAAGAATATGGTAATCCACGAAAGGGGAGTAAATTACGGTCTGCAAGGAAGACCCACATTAGTGCGCGTTAACCCTGTTCGAAGGGCCAATTTCTTGTATCATTGATAACCGTACTTATTGCTGATTTACATGCATGGGTTTGTTAGATTAGTTTGTTACATGTTAGCCACCTTTCAGTGAAAATACTGTAATAAAGTCAGTATTATTATTATTATTATTATTATTATTATTATTATTATTATCATTATTATTATTATTTGTTTACGTCATGCACCTTTTCTGCGGGAAAATAGGATTTGCTTTTCGGTTATTTATCGGGTAAATCTGAGTCGGGTAGCAAAGTATGCTGTGAATATTGGACATCACATTTCTTGTAAACTTGTAATGATTCTTAATTCATATCACCTTATAAAAGAAACATTTATGTCTTCGAAATATTTTAACCAAATAAAGACAATTTTACAGACTTTTTCCAAATTATTTTAGCGCCTCTCCTGGCGGTAAATTGTGCTCCCAAATTATATCAACTTACTGTTTTCGTGGAGATTTCACATCAGTTAATTTCATTTACCTCACTGTTTGTTATCTTAAGTATCTCGATCTAGCGCAGATAAAGCAAACTTTTAGTTTAACTAGTAATCCAGTCCATTAAAGGTCAGGAAACAAAAGCAAGTTTAGACTAATGATAGAGAAGTATCGAACTTTCGAAATGATAGAAGATTGCTTCAATTACATATCTTCTCCTTACAGCGAAACTTAAAAGCATTTATTTTCAAAACATGTGCAGAAAGAGAAACATTGTAGTAGGCAAATTAGAAAGTGCAACTTATGACTGAAAAAACACACCTTTGTTGCTCCGGGTTGAAATGTCATTGACCTTAATATCTGGAAGGTAATTATCGTCCAATAACACTTTTCCACGCTCGGACGGTGCGTTCTCCTCGAAGTTTTGTTGTTCTCTTGTTCTCTCAGTTGACGGCTGTCGATTGAGATGGGGTGGCGGACAAACACAGATCATAACCCTGTGCCTAAGAAGGTACTGGCCTGTACAACATGAAACCAAATAAAGAAAGCACGTAACTAATTTAAGGTGTTGGAGGGAGGAGATGTGCTTGAGTGGTTGAATGTTAACTCGCATAACCAGGTTAACAATTATC